CTCATTCTGATTTCTACATACATTCAAATTAGACCAAATACTAGATGTGTAGGCAGTATGGAGAACACAATATGATTCCATAAACTGACACAAAATGATTTTTTTGGGGTCAAATTAAGGATGTTGGATGAAATGAATGAATGGTTATTACAGACAGCATGAAAATAACTTAAAAGCACGTTTCCCTTTTGCTTTTCGGTTTTCTCTATTAAACATTAAATTGAAATAATACCGTGGAACACTGAAGCCGCCCAAAATATTGTTCAGCACCTGCATAAAGAAGGGAGAGCTGCTGAAGCAATGTAATTTAATTATTTTTCATAAATTCAGGATTAGCATGAAGCTAAGTAGGGCTCATTTACATTAGAGAAATATCATTATGATAATTACTGCAAAATTGTGAATTCATTAGTTTTCAATGCACATGTGCACATTACTGTAACTCAATATATGTTACACAGTAAAGTGTGATTAATACTTAAAAAGGAAAAGGTTTCCCACATAAATATGTGCTTTTTCCTGATGGAATTCAGTAGATATACTGTATCATATGGGAAGGAGATAAAACGGCTGTTAACGCTGTTATGAAAACAAATTATTTCTGATCCAGTTGACAATTTTAATTACTATGTCAAACGACCTGTTAATGAATTATTCAGATGTGCACTAATATTCAGAGCCTTGAACAATAACAGTTTAGAAAGAGATTAAGATTAGATGGAGTGTTTAGCAATGTAGTCATTCACCTGTATATTTTCAACTTGGAATAAAACTATAAACTCTGAGCCTCTAAGTGATGCCTGCGGAAAATATGGAAAAGATCACAAGAGATTTTTATGACCTCATATGAGTTCAGACTGACAGCTGATGATATATAGCAGTACTCTTGATTTAGGAAATAGGGTAGCACACAAAGTATTCTCTCAAGGGTAAATCTGTGTAGCCTATTCTCCTTTTAAAAGACAATGAAAACATCTTGTGACTCAGCCCTTCGAACTTACATTCATTAAGTGAGCACTTGAAAAGGACATTCAGCTTTATCTTCTCAACTAAAGCAATATACATTTCAGTTTCACAGACAAAGGCCTAATGTTAATAAAGCCTTAGAGACCCTCAGTCAGGAGATACACATTCCCAGGGGGCTAGAATTGGTAAACGTAAAACTGACAGCTAAAGAAGCTTATAGCCCAGAAAAACCTGTGGTGTTAAGCGTCTTTATACAATCAGGCAATTTCAGGAATTTGCTCATGACATAACACAAAGGCAAACAAAGGCTCTCCCAGCACTAATGGCAGTGAACAGCCAATGTGTGCAGGATGGCCAAGGAAACTAAACACGCAAGGGTATAGCAGAACACAACAGCACTTTGGGACCTATTTATACTTAACCATAGCAAGGCAAGTAATGGCTCTTAGCAGCTGAGGAAATTGAGCTATATGCAGGGAAAAGCATTTTCCCAGACTTGACATTACAAGGGCAAAGCGCAGTTTTCATGAAAGCAGGTTTAATCCTTTGCCGTACAGACTGGAACCACCCTGCCAGAGTGCAGCAGTTTTAACTGATCACATGGTTGCTCAGTGTCAACTGCAGACTGCTCCAGGGTGATTAGATGGCCTGCTGTGATTCTATTGTCAACTGAGGAGGAATTAGCTGTATTTTCTTTTTTTTGCTATGGAGCATTGTAGCACCTGTCAATGCAATAAATGATCAATAATAATACAAAAGTACTTCTCCTGTGTAACTAGCCTTAAATTTTGTGGACTCCTGTTGCCTGGGTTTACTGTACAAACACTGTTTGACTGATTAAAAAGTTGATTTATATGTTAATAGGACGATATTTAAATTATGGCTGACACAGCAGCACAGTGGTTAGCATTGCTACCACAAAGCACTGATGTCACGGATTCAATTCTGGATTCTGGTGTGCTGTCTGTGAGGAGTTTGTATGTTCTTCCTGTGTTTGCATGGGTTTACTCTGGATGCACTCCCACAGTCCAAAAACATAGAGGTATATTAACAGGCTTGTGGAAAAATTGGCCCTAGGTGTGTCTGCACTGGAAAGGGCTGGTGTCCCATCGAGGGTGTACCCTGGCTTGTGCCTGTCACTTGCAGAGAATAGGCTCCAGCTTCTCTGTGACCCCACATTGGAAGAAACATAAAATGAATGGATATTTTAATTCCGTCTGAACCACTAAGGCTGTAAATTCTTAAACATCACTCATGAGAGCTAATTAGCATAATGTGGGAATGTAGTTTAATACAATTAGTAATACGTTTAGAATAATATTTTTTTATCCGTTGTTAGGGGGAATTACCAAATGCAACATTATTGCTTTTGACTGTATATGAAAATGAAAAACTACATAGTGCTGTGTTGTGTGTAAATGTTTTGTTATGATTTCAGGAAAAAAAAAACATAGTTTAGATTAATTTTAGGCTTATTTGAAAGAAAAAGAAACAATATAATGTATATTCAGCTTTGCCTTTATAATATGAGTTCATTTTCTCTATTCACTAAATATGAACAGAACTTACTCTACTTAGGAAAACTGCAGAATGTTCACAAATATACTGCTTGTTTTATAAATCACTGTTTAAAAGAAAAAAACACAACTGAAACACCATGAAGGAGCCGATTTATCTTGTTAGCTTAGCTTCAGGCAGCAAATGTACTAATGTGTCATTACAATAAACGTGTCATTATCGGCAGTAGACAGAATCTACACCTTGCAAATAAAATATTGCTTCCTGCTTCTGTCAAAGATTATTTTCCACATATTCTTAATCATAGGCAACCTTTTAAGCAATAACAAAATTATTATTCTAAAATGAAGCACCTGTATTTTGATAAAAAATGCATTCATATAATTTCGGGCACTAGATACTTACTGATTCGTACTATAATTTCAGCTCTTCCAGGAAAAAAATTATCAAACACTTCCCAGAACCTTCTTGAACATTCTGGTTCTTATTTGTTAGTTACTCTTGACAGAAGAGTGTAATACTGTTCAAGTACAGTATTTGATCATCCACAGGAATTAAAGTTAACTTTCTCAATATATTTAAATTAATTTGCAAATAAAACAGAAACAAAGAGGTCATTCACAGCCCCTACAATAAAGCAGAAATAACTTTCCCGGCACCAGTATACTCCATTTCACTTCCATAGAGATTAGTGTTAAAAATGAAACAAAGTTCCATATTTATTATCCCAATGGATTATTTTTTTATTAAAAAAATGATAGAGAGTAATTGGGTTTCTTCTTTTGTCCACAAGGTACTTTGGAATATATTAAAATAAAATAAAAAACTTCAATAAGTGTGAGATCTTTCTGCATTACAAAAACATCCATCTCCCTTCTTGGCGAAACCCCTAATGGTTAGTTTGTCTTTCTAGACGACAAGCAAGTTAAGTACTTTGGGGTCAGAATAAATGCATTACTGCAGTTTTGCTTTCAAAAGCTATAACATCCATCATTTCATGCCAAGGCTTAGCAATGACAGTGATGACAGATTAGTGTTCATTTCCTTGGCTTTTGACATAGAAATCATAGCAAGGAGAAACAATTGTAGCTTGGTGAGCCAGTATTTAGGTTCCCTTCAAACTTCCTTCTTTTTAATAAGTAAGTAGGCACATACTCTATCCTCACCATGTAGGACTGGGCTAAAGCTCACAAAAATGTTTTAAAATTGTTCGCAGAAGATGATTAGGAGATAAATATAAATGTATAAAACAATCTAACTACACGTAGAGAACTAAAAATAAACAACACAATAATGCCTACGAGTCCAATGTTGCTTACCAAAAACTCTTGAATTAAAATGTTCCTGATCTTTGAAAAGCAAATAACTTAATCACCTTCATAAACTGCAGCACAGCTAAAACAACCTTATTCCTGAGTAATCTTTCCTACGAATACAGAAATTAAATATTATATTCAGTTTTATATTTCTCATCTTCAGCAAGTCATTATAGACTGCCTGGGACTAAAACAAATTTCCTTAAGTTCCATCTCCACCTAATTTGTATTAACTGGGCAGAAGCCAATTGGTCCCTAAGCAGCCTGTAGTAGTTTTGAGTCCCGGCCAATGATAGTGACTTCTTAAAATATGGCAGTGAATTTGGCATGTTTCTTAAGATTACTGTATTTCTTATTTTTATCCATGGGTTGTGCTGCCTGTTTCTGTCAAATTCTGCATGTGACTATACTGCCAGTTTGCTTATGCATTTCACTTAAGTGCATGTGGATAAACAACTCTCTATTTTATTCAACTGAGAAAAAAAGGAAGTTCTGCATAAAATATTAGTTGTAAACGTTTTTGCAGTTAATTTTAAAATAGCCTGAAGCAGACTGTGGAGATGCTGGTTAAAGATCATGCTGGTATCACAAGACAATTATTCCGAACAAAGAAAAAACACATATACCCGGCATATCCAAAGAAGTGAGAGGCTCTGTTATTGTGTCAGTATTTAAAAGAAATAAAGAAAATTCTTGCATCAGAATGTGCACTGAGCTTGCCACAGGCTACAGTCAAAGGAAATGTCTCACTATAATGTGATCTCATTTGTACAGCATTTCCTTGGAAATAATTCATATAAATGTTGCAATCATTTTTGAAGTTGTGAAGTATTGTGCAGCAAAAGAAACTTAAAATTGTCTTTAAAAAAGTAATAATGTTTTTAGAAATTTATGTTGTTCTATATCTATATAAAGAATAACTGTCACTGAATAGTTTGTTCTAGAGGCACCAGGAGAGCACAGATTGAAGATGCTGACACTTCACAGAACAAATGTTATTAAAGAAATAACAAAAGTGAAAAAAGCTGTCACTTACATTGTGAAACGAGTTCTGAGGTGTTTAAAGGAAAACAATCCCTGACAGCATTCTCAGTCGTTGATTTTAACATTAGAAGACAAAGCATTTGTTTCAATTAACTAGTTTGTGGGTTAATGCTGAACAGCTCCTAACCCCATTACTGTAGGCCCTGCCCCACTCACCTATGAAGCCAAGCTGGGAGAATTCTAAGATCATCCACTCCTCAGAGGGTTGCTGGAGGGCAAAGTTTTTCATGGTGGTGAAGTAGTTGGGCCGGGCAACGATGTCATCTTCTAGCTGATGAAAGGAGAGATAAAAACGAGTCATTCAGATGTTCTAAAGACCCATTGTTAGGAACAGATGAGCATTTATCTAGAAAATGCAATTGTATGCCATAGCAGGCTAAGAGTCTGGGCCAGGGACAGTAATATTGCAAATAAGTATCTCCTCTCAGCTTTCTCCCTGTTTGAAAGAAAAGATCAAGTGTATGGCCAAGAACTGAATGTTTTGGAGTGAAAAAAAAACCTTCCATTAGAAAGCTTTGCATTAGACACAACAATAGAAACCCAAAACCTGGGAACAGAAGCCAAATAAGAAATGTGGAGAAAACTGTGAGCCATAAGCAGAGGAACATGAATGATGAGTATTACATTTTATTAATTAAAATCATCAAATGTATCATGATCAAGATGGAATCTTAGTCCATGGCTAAATTTATGTTGTGTAATCTTCAAATATCCAGGAACTAGTCGAGAAAGAACCCTCACAAATGAAAAAAGGAATGTATTAAAAGTACAGACATACTTGCTTTTAACTAAATGCAGGAAATTAACATTCCTGGCTTACATGAAATCAAAGAAACACAGGACAATAACCCCTACATGAGTGTGCATTCTCTAGTCAAGATTACAAGGGCTGCGCCTCCAGTTTGACTGTGATGTTTCAAAATGTAGATCTGGAGCGTTAACATGAAAGTAAAAGTCCAGCTGATTGCAAAACATTAAATTAACACATTAATTACAAATCATTTGTAATACATTTATTTGTCACAGAGGTGCTTGCCAAAGGCTATCTGGAGATCATGTCATAATTGCAAAACTGATAGAAAAATCAACTACTGCTTTGCCTTTTTTACAGATATACAAGTGAAGCTCTAGCACTTGAAATAAAAGCACAGATGCTTAGATAAAAGGATATAATCCAATATATGGTTAAAAGCATTTCTCACACTTTTTTTGTCACCCCATGCACCAGCAACCCCGAATAACTCCAAGACCATGTGCATGTTGACATCGCTTTAAAGCCTCTCACTCCTACTGCTCGACAGTTAATTGAGTATAGGAAAAAGATGAAAGTCACTGCGACCCTCTTGCACAGCTAATTGATTTATAATGAATCTGTAACAGCAGAGAAAGTTAATCACTAGGGAACAGGACTACCATCTCCCAGCTCTCCCTCTCTGTTCCCTGTTTTCACTGGAACAAAGCAATAATGGTTTCTTTGTTCCTCTGACACTCAAGAACAGGATGTGCAGTGGTTGGAGAACCAATCTTCAAAATTTCAAATCTTTCTCAAATTAGTTACACCCTCCTTGCTGCTCTTTGTGGAACGGATGGAAACACCAACCACATTATCACTATCATTTGTCTGAGCGTGAAATGTACTTTTGTGTAGAAGTACCTGAAACATCAGAAATTCTGATAATCACAGCAATGTGTGGAAGAGAAACAGAAGAGATCATTGAATTGAACAGGAATAAACTTATTTTGTACAAATATGCAAAGAAATATGTTAAGGTGCACACATGTACTAAGTGTGCACTTAGTTATTATTATGCGCTTAAGTTATGCACCTAATTATCATATGGAAATTCTGATGCTAATCAGTACTAAGCAATTAAGTATTTTCTGTCTATGGGAGTAGAGCCAGATTGTTTTCTTTATTTATAGCAGTACAGCCTAGCCAGCAGGACAACATAGCAGCAAACTTTTGTTTTAATCTAATCTGTTATGTGATCAGGAGCTTATTAACACAATCTTAACAAAAATATTTACATAAAAATGTGACACTCGTCTCTTTTACTTTATAGTTGATTGTATTCTCTTATTCACCCCATGCTATATGCTAAAACAGTAAATGCAAGTAATTAAGGTGCCTATCTCACAAAATCTGTCTATAACTCAAGAATGATTATGATTGATTATTCCTCTGCCTGTCTTTTTAACTGGGCACTTCAGACTTGCTACAAGGTAACGTTACTTAAGATTTAAAGGTTATGAAATCATCACTTTTTATATGTTTTGCTGAGCAAAGGGTCAGTAACCTCAGTCTAATAAAAACTTGAATATACTGTAGATTTTTACGTGTGTATTTAAAAGTTGTCAATACTCTGCCATGTGTAGTACAAAAAAAGATATAACAGCCACATTCATTCTTACCTGAACATAGTATGTTCCTTTAGACTGAGCATACATCATCAGAAAACAGTAATCCAAATTCTGCTTTGTCCGCCACCTAAAAAAAGACAGAAGAATTAGCTAAGACTGCTGTGTGTGAAATTCAGATCTTTAAAACCCAATACCACAGTCGTAAACATTCACCCCAAGCTTTTATTTTTACCTGAATGAGACAAAAAAATGCCACAGTTTTAATTATAATCTTTCTTTTGATGTAGTTAACAATTTAGTTAGGAATTGCTTTTATCCAACTTCAAATCAATTAAGAATTTACGATGGACAGAAAAATCTAGACACTTTATTGTGAGATTCCACCACAGAGCTGCTAGGACTGTTAGGAGTTGTTACTACTAGTAGTGTCAAACCCATGTAACAGTGTTATAAAAATCAGATGGTTTAATTTAGACATGTACTAACCCAAGTAATTGAGTGTACCATAAAAAATCTTTATTAAGCAGGAATGGTAGATCCATATTGGAAAAATAAATGATTAAATCTCCCAGATTTAACAGTAAGAAAGGGTGTTATAGTGGCCCAGACATCCAAAGAATCCATTAGAACAAAGAAGGGAGCAGAGATTAATTCATCTGAGCAGCAGAAAATAAAACTCCCTAATCCCTCCAGTAAATGAAAAGAGAATCGAAAAAGTGTGGGATGTTGAGTTTAGATAATGGGGTTTCAAAGCAGCAAATGGGTGACCACAGAAATCTGCAACAAATGGTGTGTAAAGGCTTAATCTGAGTTAATTTAACTCTTATCCTGCTACACAGCTTTCATTCCTTTGGACATTAACCACATTTAAGAAGTTATTGCTTATTTGTAAAAACCTTAACTGGATTAAGACTAGGGTGAGAATGCACTACAACAATCTTGTAAGCATTATACTTTTGACCTAAATTACACAAACTAGATTTTTTCTGTTCCTGAAATGTGATTTGGGAGTATTCTACAAAACCCTTCAATGTGGAACTAATACTCTATAGTGAAGTAAACAGAGAAACACAAAATCCACAAAGATGTGCAAAGTCAGCAGTTTACACATTGGTCAGCATAATACAGTCTGGTTTTGAGAGAATTAGTAAAGATCTGGTGATTTACTGCATCTCATCTGCTGACTCTCAAAGGGTTAAATCTGATTATAAACTTAAAGCTCTGTTCTAAATTCCTCTTTGCTTATCGAACACTTTATGGAGCGCTGAACCACAGGGAATCACCTCCATTAAGAGAGGATATTTGCTACTACTGAGGCAACACAATTAGAAGATGCATTTAGTGGGTTTAGTATAATGTATAAGAGATTGCATATAGAATTATATAACCAGGGGATACTGCCTGGAAGCTTCAGATGACATCATAATCAATGATTTTAAAATGCTGCCCCTGAGGTCAAATATCTTTATTTCTGCCTGTGCTTCATTTGACAGTGATTCACTTAAACATATTGCTAGCAGCAAAATGCCATAGACAAATTAAATAAAATATTAATGGTTTATATACTAAGACCATATCTTTCACCTCCCTTTACCTAAAGGATCTCGCACAATTAATCAAGCGACATTTTATGGTGTACAAATGTGTCACTTTTGAACTAAGCTATTTCATGTTCAGTAATGTGTATGTTGTTTTTTAGAAATGGACAGTATATTGAAATAGGGCCATTGAAATCGGAGTGGCCTACATTTCCTGAGAGCAAAAGCTTGTTTCAGAAAATATACTGTCCGTCCCCCACTTAGGAAGCCAACGAACAATAAAACTGTAAATCCATAAATTGTGTAGGCAGCTTAAAGACATGCGACTTGTTTAATGAACAGTTATACCACAACATTATTTTAACAGTGATGATAATAACCTTCAAAGCAGGCATGTTCAAATCTCACTGGAATCATAAACCGTTAGGAAGGCAATCTGCCATCCCTGTACACTTTTGAGCTTACTTTGTTCTAAATGCTGGTGCTAAATTAAACCCTGGTCCCCACACATTGATACCCTTGTACAACGCTTGTGATGTATGCCCATGCTCTTAATTCAGACAAGTAGGAAGAGCAGCAGTGCATCTCATCTGTTTTCGGTGCCTTTTACTGGAGTAGCAGTGACTGACTTTCTCTTGCAAATTTCAGAAAGCCTCTTCCCTAACACGCTATATTAATAGGCCAGCTGTTTTGTGTCATCTTACCACAGCATAAAAAACAATATGAGGATGCCAGCTTGACAGAAGGCACCCAATAATGACAATATATAGTTCCAAGATGCTGTACTGTCCTTATCCAGCACAGCACAGATGTTACTGTTCACTTTCCAAGAAACGTACATTTGGCACATACGGGAATTATTCCACTAGACAAATTACTAATTATGCTAGATCAGAAAAATGTAAAATGCAGTGTGAATGTCAATACTTATCACTATTTTCTCTTTTCTCTTCCTTTGGCTTATAGGTCATGGCAATCTCTACAAACTGTAGCTCTATTTCTCACACTTTGCTTTAACATTTTGTTCCTGAATTCAGCTTCCTTATTCTAAACCTGAGTTAACATCGTCCAAGGGATTGAAACTTTCATTTTCATTTTTGTTTTAAGAAATCGTTAATGAAATAATTAAACTACAGTTTATACACTATTAACAGCTGGTGTTAAAACACTAAGACACAGACACATTCGGTTAACGTTTCCATATTAATCACTAACGTTTTAAATCTTTTAGCATGAATGACCAAACCTGTTACAGGAAAATGGATCAAAGAAATTGGATCCAGACTTTTAAGATAACGGTTTAAAGCTAATAACGTTAAGTGGTAGTTTTCTTCCTTTGAGGGTTCAAAAATAGACATAAAAACAATTTAAAAACTGTTACTTCCTCCTTATTCCTTGTCTATCAACATGTTCATTTCTGGAGGCAATTGTTCACAGGACTTACTGTGAATGCCACCTCCCTTGGAATCAAAAGAACAAAAGCAGTACATGTAGATATTGGTGTGTCACCATTTTCTCAGAAAGAGACCGCTAAAAATATCTTCAAGAAATAATGCAAAAATAAATTTTGCACTATTTGGTAGCACTGTCATTGCAGACTTTAAGCACAGACATAACAAAAACTACCACATTTAAACTGGAACAAACGGTTTAAGATGAGCACAATATGGGTGAATCTTTATTAAAAAACACATTCCGGGGAAAAACTGTACATAAGTTGGCTTTAAAACTAAAATCATAAATGCAAACATGGAACGCTGATTTAAAGAAAGGTCTCAGAAAGCTGCTTTCTTATGAAAGGAAGAATAAAGAAAGTCGTGGGAGATTTGGCATGAAACTGCAGAAATAAAGTCTGTCATGATTGTAACCACTATAACTGAAAACAAGATAAGACTAGCAGCTTACTGCTATTCCCCTCTGCCAGGCTATGAACCACTCAGGGGAAGAATGCAGACACCGCACTTGGAACTACAGATTGGGAAAAGAAGAAACACTAGTTTGGTTCTTCTAACATTGATGTGAGGGAAGAAAATCTTGATCTCAAACGCGACCCTGTGCTTTTCCTACTTACTTTGATAGGGTATAATGGCATACATTTCCACAGCATCACTCGGCCTGCCTTCCATCAATTGAGGTAATGACAATATATTTAGAAAAAAATATTTCTGGCTGCCAAGTGGCTCCAGCAGTATAACAGTGGTACCCGCTGAGAAGGAAGGTTAAATCCAGGAATCTGAAGTTCGACTGCGAGTCTCATCACTGACTGTCAGTGACAGGGATATCCAGACTCTCCAAGTGGCAGTGCACAGCTGGTTATGTACTGTGGGGATTAGTGGGGTTGCCAGGGTTCTCTAATTGTTTAGTGAAACAGCGATTACTGCATTACTACGGTGACATTAGGGAGGGATGCGTTACACTTCCAATAGGCGCTAACATTCCAGGAAAATACTGTGGGTCAGAAGAGCTAATCTGTCCATCCTCATTCTCCTTGGCTGGTACGAGAGTATAAGAACCACTGCGGTGAGCCTCGGTCAAGACAGTAGGAAACCATTTATTGACTGCAAATTCAAGAGCTTAATGTGAAAACGACCACAAACAGATGAAGAAAATGATAACAGCATTCATTTATTAATAATAATTCATTTTGAAGGGTGTAGATAACGTTGTTTAAAAAAAAAACAACGTTTCCCATTTCCAGCGCCTCACAAACAAAAAGGACACAAAAATGAAAAATGTATTTCCTTCAACAGCAAATTCACGCTCAGACACGATAAAATAATACACATGCTGCACCCAAAAAACGTGCCTTCAGTAAGAATCACATTTAGACAGTATTAAGACTCTCCCAACAGCATGTAGCAATTAAGAAACATCCATATTGTTACCAAATAAAGGATAAGGATGAAGTAATTTTATTGGCGAAGTTTCCAACAGTTTATTAGCAGCACACTGTGGTGTTCATCTTTGTCCAATATATCCCAGCATCTGGGCAGAGATCCGTACATATACTTTAAAAAATCATGTACTCCCAGCCGGTCTTTTATAACCTCTTAGACAACATTTTATTTTTGAGTCCTGAGTTGAAATAGAAGCACAAAGCTAAACAATCTCCTAAAATGTGAAATCTGGAACTCTGTTATTTCATCTTGGATCAATCCAACAATGACAAAAGACTTCAAAATAAGACTAAGATTAGCAAGTGCTGGCCTGGTGTTGCCTCTGTTCATCATTATTCTGTTTTGCAGCAGCCAGATGTCAGCCCTGACACTGCCCATACAGCTGCTGTCCCCTTTTCTGTTTTTCTCTAACATCTGGCGAGTCACGCAATCTCACACTCTCTGTAATACGAAAGAAGTGTGAAAGCAGAAAAATATACCATATAGTAAGAACCCAAATGAAAACACATTTTTTGTAAGAATGCAAGAATATGACTCTTGTCTTAGTGTCCAGATTTTTCATTACTAGTTTATTTACTGTTGTAAACCTAGACTGAGTTTGCATCTTTAAATCTTTGTAAGCTATTCCTAGATCAAAATTTAGTTTAACACATTGAGAAGAACAATCCTTTTTTTTTTGCTAGAACGTATCC